AGGGGCGGGCAGAGCCTCGGCTTTTTTGGCAGCTTCACAAGAGGCAGAGGGAAGGGGAAGGACCCGGCGGCTGCTGCGGAGGATGCTAAGTTTGTGCTGGATGCTGCTCCCGCTGGTGAGTGCCCGGCAGTGGTCCCCTCTGGGGGTGGTGGGGGGGGACGAGACGAGGAGAGGGGAGGGGAGGTGGGGGACAGCACATCTGGCTCCTGACACTGTTTGCCACAGCTGGATGGCTCCTCAACTGCCCGACAGCATGGGGGTTGGGGGGGGTGGTGGGTCCGGGGGGGATGTCCAAAGAGGCAGGGCAACTTCTGTCAGAACAGGTAGGAAGAAAGAAAACTAAGGATGAGATTAAAAAAAAAAAAGGGGGGATGGGGATGTAGGAGGGGAGGAAAGAAAAAAAAATATTTCTGAGTTAGAGGTTTGACCCATCTCTTTTCTTTAAAATTTTCCAGCCCAAAGATGCTATTAATAAATGTCCTTTCGTTTCCATTCATGAGAATTGCAGTTTCCAAAGGACAGAAAAGCATCCCTAAATCAGAATAGTTGTAGCATGGCTTTAGAGAGACAGAAAGGAACAGCTTGCAGTCGCCTTAGAAAGGCAACTTTACCGAAGGAGGAGGATAACTAAAAAGGAATAGTTCTCGTGATGAATTTGGGACGTTTACCTCTTTGAGAGGACACTGATGTTCTTATTAATGAAGGCATCTGCTTATACTAGCACTAAGCAGGACTATGAACCATCTTATCTGTTATGCACTGGAGGCAGCAGGTAAGATTGTAGCTTTAAACAACATACATCAGAGAAGATGTATGAGACAGATACACAATCAAGAACCTGCATCCTTCCCTAAGCCCCACGATCTACAGCTGGCATTGCTGGGGCTAGTTGTAGCCAGCTTATCAGGGAGGAACTATTTTGGGTAAGTAAATGAATACTTTAGTCTAAGTAAGGTTTTAGCCTACAAAGTAATGAAGGGGTATAAGTAGACTACAGCACTCAGAAACCTTAATGTAGGTGAGGTTTATAATGTTAACTACAGTGAGATGTTAGAAAACCCCAGTAAGTGCAGAACTTGTTTTCTTTATTAGCATGGACAAAAACTCTTACAAGAAGAGTTTCCAGCTAATTAATTTAAACTTCAGGAATTAGAATGTGGCCTGGTTTTCAGATCAGGTGGAGACCAGGTCAGAAAGGCAGATGGAGAAGAGAAAATATACGAGGAAAGAAGCACTGAGAGACCACACCTGCTCAAAGAAGCCCTGCCTTCTCTTATGCACCACTTACGAACACCTGTGTCAAGAAATTACCAAAAAACTTCCAAAAAAAAAGTGGTTCTCACTTAATTTAGCTCCAAGCCTGGTTATGTTGGCCTGAAAAACTTCATCAAAGTGACGTGAGAGGCCTTAAATAATAGAATCCAGTTGAAATATTGTGGATTAGAATGTCATGCTGATATTAATTTAATTGCATCTTTGTGTTTACATTATGATTCTTGAAAGCATTTTTTTTTTTAAGCACAGCAACCAAATTCCTGAGCAACATGACCTGCCTTTGAAATTTGACCTGTGTTGAGGGGAGGAGATGTTTGGGGCCAGATCTCCTTAAGTCTCTTCTGACCTAAATTATTCTGTTATTCTATAATTTCTTATACTCAAGTTTCTTCCTCAAAAGGCATTAAATGCCTATTTTGGGGTAAGTTAGGTGAGACCTGGATCTCCTCTGACTATACAGAACTCTACTGTTTAACACCATTGGGAAATAATGAATGATAAACAGGATATGAAATAGTCCTTAAATCTTTTTAAGAAAAAGTGTTCTTCACATGTCAACAATTCCTGCTCTCCCAGGCCCTGTAAATAGCTTGGTGCAATGTTTACTGTGGCAAACCCCAGAACTGGTGCCTAGGTCCTATGAAAGTTGACATTTAAAAAATTACTATAATTTTTTTTTGCCTTTCCCCCTCCCCTCACATGAAATCCAAGCTGTAGGCAAGAAGGGCTTTAACTTTTACCTGTTGCATCAAGGAATAAAGCTACATTTGAGGTAACACAAAGGCCAGAAAGACCTTATGCAGCTCCTGGAGGAATTCCTCTGTCACTACTCAAAATTTTCCATTGAAGAGGAAGGGGATGCCAAAACCCAGAAACTCCACCTCTGAGAGTTCCCAGGGAATACTACACTGCCAGACCCACCTAAAACCCAGATCCTTTGAAAACCTGCTGCCATGGGTCACAAGCATGGGCCCATTAGCAGAAGGAGGGGGTTATCCATCATCTTCTCTTGCACAGAGAACATCTGCTTCCAAATATACCCTAAAAGCCCAGTCGCTGCACCAGCTCACTGCAGTTTTCTAGTTGGGTGACCAGAGTTGGGTTTTCATAGAGGTGGCTCCAAAATCCCAGGTGGATGCTGGAGAATCCCTCCTCATCAAGCCTGGTCCTGCATCACTTAAAGATGCCGGGTTCCCCCAGGATTGCCCCGGGTGGCCGGGGAGGGAGGTGCAAGGCTCTCCGGGGCGGGTCTTGGGCAGGTAGGGGCGGGCAGAGCCTCGGCTTTTTTGGCAGCTTCACAAGAGGCAGAGGGAAGGGGAAGGACCCGGCGGCTGCTGCGGAGGATGCTAAGTTTGTGCTGGATGCTGCTCCCGCTGGTGAGTGCCCGGCAGTGGTCCCCTCTGGGGGTGGTGGGGGGGGACGAGACGAGGAGAGGGGAGGGGAGGTGGGGGACAGCACATCTGGCTCCTGACACTGTTTGCCACAGCTGGATGGCTCCTCAACTGCCCGACAGCATGGGGGTTGGGGGGGGTGGTGGGTCCGGGGGGGATGTCCAAAGAGGCAGGGCAACTTCTGTCAGAACAGGTAGGAAGAAAGAAAACTAAGGATGAGATTAAAAAAAAAAAAGGGGGGATGGGGATGTAGGAGGGGAGGAAAGAAAAAAAAATATTTCTGAGTTAGAGGTTTGACCCATCTCTTTTCTTTAAAATTTTCCAGCCCAAAGATGCTATTAATAAATGTCCTTTCGTTTCCATTCATGAGAATTGCAGTTTCCAAAGGACAGAAAAGCATCCCTAAATCAGAATAGTTGTAGCATGGCTTTAGAGAGACAGAAAGGAACAGCTTGCAGTCGCCTTAGAAAGGCAACTTTACCGAAGGAGGAGGATAACTAAAAAGGAATAGTTCTCGTGATGAATTTGGGACGTTTACCTCTTTGAGAGGACACTGATGTTCTTATTAATGAAGGCATCTGCTTATACTAGCACTAAGCAGGACTACAAACGATCTTATCTGTTATGCACTGGAGGGAGGAGGTAAGATTGTAGCTTTAAACAACATACATCAGAGAAGATGTATGAGATAGATATATGATTCAAGAACCTGCATCCCTCCCTAAGCCCCACGATCTACAGCTGGCATTTTTAATGAAGGTGAGGTTTATAACGTTAACTACAGTGAGATGTTAGAAAATCCCAGTAAGTGCAGAATTTGTTTTCTTTATTAACACGGACAAAAACTCTTACAAGAAGAGTTTCCAGCTAATTAATTTAAACTTCAGGGATTGGAATGTGGCCTGGTTTTCAGATCAGGTGGAGACCAGGTCGGAAAGGTAGATGGAGAAGAGAAAATATACGAGGAAGGAAGTACTGAGAGACCACACCTGCTCGAAGAAGTGCTGCCTTCTCTTATGCACCACTTATGAACACCTGTGTCAAGAAATTACCAAAAAACTACCCCAAAAAAGCAGGGTTTTTTTCACTTAGTTTTGCTCCAAGACTGGTTATGTTGGCCTAAAAAACTTCATCAAAGTGACCTGACAGGCCTTACATAATAGAATCCAGTTGAAATATTGTGGATTAGAATGTCATGCTGATATTAATTTAATTGCATCTTTGTGTTTACATTATGAGTCTTGAGAGCATTTTTTTTTTAAGCATAGCAACCAAATTCCTGAGCAACATGACTTGCCTTTGAAATTTGACCTGTGTTGAGGGGTGGAGATGTTTGGGGCCAGACCTCCTTAAGTCCCTTCTGACCTAAATTATTCTGTTATTCTATGCTTTCTTATACTCAAGTTTCTTCCTCAAAAGGCATTAAATGCCTATTTTGGGGTAAGTTAGGTGAGACCTGGATCTCCTCTGACTATACAGAACTCTACTGTTTAACACCATTGGGAAATAATGAATGATAAACAGGATATGAAATAGTCCTTAAATCTTTTTAAGAAAAAATGTTCTTCACATGTCAACAATTCCTGCTCTCCCAGGCCCTGAAAATAGCTTGGTGCAATGTTTACTGTGGCAAACCCCAGAACTGGTGCCTAGGTCCTATAAAAGTTGACATTTAAAAAATTACTATCATTTTTTTTTGCCTTTCCCCCTCCCCTCACATGAAATCCAAGCTGTAGGAAAGAAAGGCTTTAACTTTTACCTGTTGCACGAAGGAATAAAGCTACATTTGAGGTAACACAAAGGCCAGGAAGACCTTATGCAGCTCCTGGAGGAATTCCTCTGTCACTACTCAAAATTTTCCATTGAAGAGGAAGGGGATGCCAAAACCCAGAAACTCCACCTCTGAGAGTTCCCAGGGAATACTACACTGCCAGACCCACCTAAAACCCAGATCCTTTGAAAACCTGCTGCCATGGGTCACAAGCATGGGCCCATTAGCAGAAGGAGGGGGTTATCCATCATCTTCTCTTGCACAGAGAACATCTGCTTCCAAATATACCCTAAAAGCCCAGTCGCTGCACCAGCTCACTGCAGTTTTCTAGTTGGGTGACCAGAGTTGGGTTTTCATAGAGGTGGCTCCAAAATCCCAGGTGGATGCTGGAGAATCCCTCCTCATCAAGCCTGGTCCTGCATCACTTAAAGATGCCGGGTTCCCCCAGGATTGCCCCGGGTGGCCGGGGAGGGAGGTGCAAGGCTCTCCGGGGCGGGTCTTGGGCAGGTAGGGGCGGGCAGAGCCTCGGCTTTTTTGGCAGCTTCACAAGAGGCAGAGGGAAGGGGAAGGACCCGGCGGCTGCTGCGGAGGATGCTAAGTTTGTGCTGGATGCTGCTCCCGCTGGTGAGTGCCCGGCAGTGGTCCCCTCTGGGGGTGGTGGGGGGGGACGAGACGAGGAGAGGGGAGGGGAGGTGGGGGACAGCACATCTGGCTCCTGACACTGTTTGCCACAGCTGGATGGCTCCTCAACTGCCCGACAGCATGGGGGTTGGGGGGGGTGGTGGGTCCGGGGGGGATGTCCAAAGAGGCAGGGCAACTTCTGTCAGAACAGGGAGGAAGAAAGAAAACTAAGGATGAGATTAAAAAAAAAAAAGGGGGGATGGGGATGTAGGAGGGGAGGAAAGAAAAAAAAATATTTCTGAGTTAGAGGTTTGACCCATCTCTTTTCTTTAAAATTTTCCAGCCCAAAGATGCTATTAATAAATGTCCTTTCGTTTCCATTCATGAGAATTGCAGTTTCCAAAGGACAGAAAAGCATCCCTAAATCAGAATAGTTGTAGCATGGCTTTAGAGAGACAGAAAGGAACAGCTTGCAGTCGCCTTAGAAAGGCAACTTTACCGAAGGAGGAGGATAACTAAAAAGGAATAGTTCTCGTGATGAATTTGGGACGTTCACCTCTTTGAGAGGACACTGATGTTCTTATTAATGAAGGCATCTGCTTATACTAGCACTAAGCAGGACTATGAACCATCTTATCTGTTATGCACTGGAGGCAGCAGGTAAGATTGTAGCTTTAAACAACATACATCAGAGAAGATGTATGAGACAGATACACAATCAAGAACCTGCATCCTTCCCTAAGCCCCACGATCTACAGCTGGCATTGCTGGGGCTGGTTAGCAAAAGCTTGTGTAAGTATAACTATAGTCATATATCCTCTTTCCCCTCAATCTTTAGCCTTAGAGAAGTGTGCGGAAACCTTCCTGTGGGTGTGATTCCCAGGGACTTGTTAATTAATTTAGCTATTTCACAGTTAAAAATGTTGTGCAGGCTGGGATTCACGCTCTCGCTGCAGTCAAGGGGGAGACAGTCACCTTCCCAGGGGGCATCTCATCTTGTCCTGAGAAAGACAGATGGGGTGAGTCTTCCTCTAGGGTCTGTTTTCTTCCGCTGATGATAGCGAGACCCCTAGATGGTCACAGACTGCTCTTGACCCTCCAGTATTAACAGGTGAAAGATGGGATGCAAATTTTCACTCCTGCACCTCACATGCACTGGAAGTTGTTTTTTCCTCTGTATTTACACAGCTTGGTGTACAAATGATAGAATATAGGTCCTTGCTATGTAAATCTTGCAATGTATAGTTATTATCATGTGTAATACCCTTTTTCCAGGGAAAACTAGTCACCCTAAAGCGTTACACTGCTACAGGTAGAGTGACTTTGGCATCTGGACTAGCCTTTTTACACGTAATAGAGGCACAACTTATTCTTGCAGCTCTCAGCAGTGTGGAGTTATCCTGAAGAGATGTATGATGCACATCTGTGGGCTGCCACATATTATTTTAATGTTTTAGCATATTGCAGCAGACATTGCCCATAACAAAAGAAATTCTATAAACTGCAATTTCTATGCAGCTTTTTTTGCCCTTCAACGATTGCTCATATATGATCTCCAACTACGCGTCTGGTAAGAGTCAGTGCTCTAAATATCAGTGGTTTTCGTGTCTCAAACTGGTTTCTCGTGGGAAGCTTTGCATCCTAAGTTAGACAGTCAGGGAAGGCCAGTCCTTTCATATTTCAAAGGATCATGTCAGCGAAGAGAAATAATTCTAGTGTGGAGTCTGCAAATAATTCATTACTCAGATATGAAAATAAACTGAAGGGTAATCCTGAAACCTTCCTCTGTGAAACTGGGTACTTTTACCTCCTACCAGCTCCACGGGGAGCTGTACGTTGCAGGATATACTTTGTGCCTTGCAGAACAGAGTCCTTGACATTAAAAATTACCATTTGCTTGTAAGTGACAAGGAACAGAGAGCAGTGGGTGCTGAAATGCATAAAAATGACTTTTCCTGTCTTAAAGAGTTCAGAGTCTCAGGAAACAGAGGATGGGGAACAGAAAAGACTCTGCATTCACTGTCCTTCCTGCTGAGCTGAACTGCTTTCTTCTTCAAACACGAAACAGCTTTTCATGTTTCTGGGGAAGGGGTTCAGTCTGATGTAAAGAATGGAATGAGAAAGGAAATATAGGTGGGTTTTTGTTGAGCCATACATTTGCTTTAACACAGCGTTTCTTGTGGTAACAGACATATGGATTGAAATCTGTAGCAAGATGCTGAGCTCCCAACAAAACAGAGCTGGGTGCCTAAATTTGTGATATAGCAACTACTGGTTAATTTGTATTAGAGGGACATACATGCTTCTTCTAGGGATCCGGGTGCATGCAGATCTTTCATTCCCCTCCATAGGGAACTGGAGGTGTGGAAGAATCAGTGTGTTTAGGCATTTTGTTAGCTTGGAGGGAGTTAATGGAGGGAGACGGGCTCCTGTACAGTGAGTCACTGTCCTCAACTAGGTGCCTGAGAGAGGTAGGAGGAATCCTTCCCTGGAACTGCTTGTCTGCCTTCATTGATCATTAAGGGAGGCTTGATGGGGGAGCTTAGATTAATCATCTAAAATTATCTGTCTAAAACTGGGAATCTTGTCTAAAGCTGCTTCATTTTGCCTTCTTCAATATTACTGGGAAGTAGTGAAAACACTCCAAAAACAATGGATAAGGTTTCAGTTGAGTGAACTTGCTGAGGGACTTTGACTTCTAGGTTTCAATTCTTTGGGATGAGGTGACATGAGCCCCACCTTTAGGCAAACATGCTACATATACAGAAAGGGAGAAAATTCACTTTAATTTGGAGGAATACTTGCAATAGCAGAAAACAAGGATCCTCGGTTATTAGTGTTGTTATTCTTTAAGTGTTCATGGTAATTAAATGCCCTACCAAATGTAGCAAAGAGCTAATAAATTCTTTTTCATTTTTCTCAGGATAATACTAGTTACACAGGGCTTATAAACAAAACAAATTAGTATGGCTGTATTGTCACATACAGAATACCTATGAGCAAATACATATATTGATATATATGCATATAGCATGTATAGCAAGTACTCTTCTGTATAAGGCTATGCAGTTAAATACAGTCAGATAAATACAATCCAATACACAGAGGAGCATTCAAGCGTTACTCCAATGTCTTAAAAACAATCTTGACAAGATATTCCTCTAAATGACTGTAAGGCAATCAGTGTCTCTGCTTCTCTTGTTCCATAGGTAATCGAGTTAGAAAGAGAAAACAAACACTGAAAATGTCCTCTAGGTAGTCATTTTCACTGAAAAAGACTCCTGAAATAATCTATTTAACCGGCTGAAGAGACAGATTGGAACTAGGTCTTTACCTTTGGGGTTGAAAGCTTCTGGGATTAAGTCTGTGTCAGAGTTTGTGAGTTGAGGGCAGGGTTTCCTATGGTAACTAAATACATTGCTGGTGACTGGAGTCATGTCACTGCTCTGGTTTTACAGTCGATTAAGATCAAGAGTGGAAAACATGGCTTGGATGTGGTAGAAACAAAGTGGATGCTCATCTATATTTACAATTGCATTTAAGCAGTGGACGTTTTTGCTTCATAAGAAATCCTTGGTTATTTTTGTAGTTTCTTGTAGTTTTCTGACAGAATGTAATACTACATATATTACATTATAAATATCCCAGGATTACTTATAGGACACAGTGGAGAGGTAGACGGTGGACTTTTTTGCTGCATAAGAAATCCTTGGTTATTTTTTGTAGTTTCTTGTAGTTTTCTGACGGAATGTAATACTACATATATTACATTACAAATGTCCCAGAATTACTTATAGGACACAGTGGAGAGGTAGATCCTTACTGCGGTGATTGTGAATGTAGCTGTACTGAAACGGACAAGAGCTTATGGAGCTTGAGGTTGCTTCCAGTTTCCTCCAAAGTACACTTGAAAATAGGCTCTGACTTCAGTGACTTTTACTTCCCAGTCTCAAAGCTTTCTGATTAGCACTTGGCTTTTTGCGAAAGAAATTAAGCAGGTGGAAGGAGACAGGCCATGTGGAGGATTTTGATTAGATATATGCGATGGATGGACACATTTATGAACAAGGCTGAGGTTTTCTTTGTCTTCTTCAGTTATTCAACCTGTGTTCAACATTGTTCATGATCCTCCTTCCACCCTATAAGCCTTTCCTGTTCATCAAAATTTGAAGAAAAAAGATATGCATTTCAGAGCATATCCTGATTTCTTCACTGTGCCTTTGGCACCACTGGCCAACTTTCAGGACTGACTGAACACTTCATTCCACAGTTAAAAATGGGCAGGGGATGCAGGAGTTTTGGATGTGTGCTGTGCCTTTTTGTATCCTAAAATATCAGGTAAGTTTTAATCCTCCAAGCTGGGAGTCAGCGTGTGACGTGAATGGCAGACAACTCTTGTTTTGTGGAAGGGAGAGCTAAAATACTCAGGCATCAGAGTCATATCAGAAAAACCGAACAGGAGAAGCACAGAGAGAGAGAACAGGGAGTACAGAGATGATTTCAGAGCAGATCTGAGATGAGATCTGAGACACGAATGCAAGCTGTAGAGACAGAGGCAAGAAGAGCAGTGATTAATATTCTTAGTAAATGATTTATGCACTTGACGCAAAACCTATTCATGAGGTTTTAGCATTGCACGACATTGGAAGCTGAACGGGATGACTGGAAAGACCCTTCAAGTTCTTGAAACCTTTCCATCTTACCAATGAATTCAGAGACTTATTCTATTTTCGATTAATTTTCAAAAAAACTAAGTGTTACCAATTTACTTCTGGCTCTTTGATCCCATTGAATCGCTTTTTCAAAAGTGACTAATATATTTGATGCCCAGCTTTGAAGCACTTCCCGTGTTTTCAGAGAGCCTAGAAAATATCCCTACTTTTCCCCAAGTGTGCTAATGGACTCCTTAATGAGTGAAGATGTGTCTTTTATGTCACATCTAAATTATAGGTTTTATACCACCACAACATCCTAGGGGCACCAACTTTGGATAAGCTCTCAGG